CGGGGCGCCCCGGCCCTGCCCCCCGGCTTCCTGCCGCCTCCCGCGGCCGTCTCGTCGCCCCTGAGCAGCTGGGGCGTTTTACGGGTGGGTCGTTCGCACTCGTTTACGTTAACACCGTTGGCTTGCTGGAGGCGTTAGAGGCGTGTGGAAAGGCAGATCCCTCTCCGTATTGCAGCGAAACTAGACACTGCATGGGGAGGATCAAGTCGAGCTGTCACACTCTCAGCATGACCGTCTGAGAGCTGCCTTGTGAGACCTGATGTGTTGGCTGCAGTCATAAAATAGGCAGAAGTATGCCTAAGCATGAATACAGTTTCCCTTCCCTCACTGTAGCTGCATTACTGATACTCTTTGCACTCACATTTTCTGATGTGACTCTTGCTGGAGGCTGCTCAGAGGGTCTAGGTGATGACATGCAGCTAGATTACTACAGTTCTGGGGAACATCCCCCACCCACAGGTGGTCTGGGGAAATGATGTTAATAACAGCTCTTCCTACTGGACTGAAGCTTCTGATTGAAATACTGACAAAGACATTATTCCTGGAAAAGAAGAAAGAGAAACCATACTCATTGAGATTATTTCTTGCAGGTGTATTCTAGTATGTCAGTTCACAACTTCTACTTCATCAGGGACACCTGACAGGCAGTTCTGTCTTGTCGCATGTCTTGCAGGGCGCAGACCACCACCCGTTGCTTCTAGGCTGTTAGTGGGTAGCAAACGTGTTAGTCTTTTGTAAAAGTAAACAAGTCACAGAGCTGGGGAAGGTGGGTTTGCAAGCTCTGAGGGCTTAGACAACCAAAGAAGTGAATTTATAGTATACACGTGTATCTATATACATGTATGTGTATATTTAATTAAAAAAGAAGTTCCAGCGTCAGATGGGTCTAAGTAACAGCTTGGGATTTCAAAGTTGATGCATCTCCAAGGGAAGATGGCCTGAGAATGAACTGCTTCCCCTTTCTTCATGTAAAACACAAAAATGCATCTTCTGAAAATTGGGAATCCGTAAGCTGGATCTCCACAAAAGTCCTCAGTTTTTTTGCTGGGAAATGGTAATGGGTTTGACTCTAATATGATCCTAACACAGACATAGGCAGGAAGTAAAAAGAAGAACAAAGACTGCTGAGGAGACAGGGGATGACTGGGAGTGATCTGGTCTCATTGCTCTTTTTTTTTTTTCCTCTTTACCCCAACCCCTACCCTCTGTTTCCTCAAACAGCTTGTGAACACATTCTTTAGTTTCCTGAGGCGGAAAACTGATTTCTTCACTGGTGGCGAAGATGGAGTAGCAGAAAAGGTATTTTAAAAAAAAAAAAAAAGTCATTCTAACTTACATACTCTCTGTGCCATGCTAAGACTTCCCTTCCTGAATAACTCAAAGCATTCCTCCCAATACACCTGGGAACCAGCAGTCTGTGATGTTGGTGAAATACACCTCTGAAACAAGGTAATAATAAGCTACCCCTATCTGAGGTGAGGCATGATTGCTTGTTCAAATGATACCAATGGTGCAGGTTTTTGCCATGCTCTGGCCAAAGGCCTGTTTGAAAAGCAAATCTGCCAGACGCTCTGACTTAACGGTGACAGACACTGCAGTGTTGATAACCCCAGGTTACCTTGTTTGTTCATCTCAGAAAAATTACAAAGTCCACATCCCTGCACATGCTGCTGCCCCTTTGTCTCTGTGCTGCAGTATTTGTACGGACTGAACACGCCAGAGAGCAAGCCCGAGGATCGAGGCTACCTTGTTGGCCTGAGAGAACTGAATGTCTTTGATATCCAGCAGGTATTCCTGACCCAGCACAAGAATTGTAAAACTAACTAGTTTCTTTGTAGTGAAATAAGGACCAGAGCATTGAAACATCAGTTAGCGAGACTTTCTGAAGGTTTCTTGCTTGTGCTTACCAGTATATCAACAGTTACCTTTTCTTTCAGAATGCTGACTACTTTGTGACTCTGTTGTCTAGAGGCTGTGTGTTTACTATATGCCCCTCACCTGCCCTCCTGGCTTTAAAACTGTAGGTGATAACATCAGGTCTTACAAGGAAGCTGATATTAACTGGGGGGTCAGATACTTGTAGATCATATACTCAGTTTGGATCGTGGTGTAGGATTGAGGAAAAATGCTGGAATACATGCCTTCTGAAAGAACTTTCTGGATTACTGGAACTCTCCAGACAGCAAAGCAGGAACTGCTGCCATGTTGAATGTTAGCAAAGATGATTGCCAGTGCTGCGTATAAGATACTCTGTCTAGTCTGTAAAATGGAAGAACTAAAGCAGCGAAGGGATGGGAAGGTGGATGGTTTCAAAGTAAGAATAGGATGACGCCTACTGCTGTTTTCCTTGGACTAGTGAGCAAATCTTCCAGATTTCCTGGGGACTCTGTACTCCTAGGGAATGAAAACCTAAGCAGCATTATGTTTTAGTAGAATTTCGGAGATTAGCACTGACAGATGCTGTTGGAGGTCCAGGCTACTGTTCTTGCAAATCCGTGTCTTATTGTGCTATCTGTAGAAGAAAAGTGTTAGCGTCCTTGGCTGGTGTCTGTTAAAATGCTCTATGGTCCTCTGAAAAGGTGATGAATACAAAAGAGTCTCTTAACTTGCTTCTGACACCGTAATAACCGCAACAAAAATTGAAGAAGTTATTCTCCCCCATCCTGCTCATCCTTTGATATCAAAGATGTGAAAAGAGGAGAGGGTGGTGGGAAAGGCAGTATGTTTTATGTGGTGCCATTTCAGAAGCCTTCCTGGTGTAGAATGAGGGAGTGATGTAACATGTTGAGGGAAATGCAGTGCGCGCACACTGTTACACTTGGGCGATTTGAATAGCTTTGCTCACTGTGGATTGTCCTGCAGTTGGGAACAGAGGCTGGGAGATGCATGTCTTGATTTCTGTATCCTAGGAGACGCTGGACTCAAGTTGTGTAAATAAATCCTGCTTTCCTTTTTAAAAGCAAAGCCGTAAATGATTGGTGGTTGGTTCCAAAACTACATGAGGCCTGGCTGTTCTGAGCTACTTTGGAGAAGTGCTAATTCCTCACTGAAGTTCCTGGGATATACGTAAGCCAGTGCCTGAAACCTCTATCTGAAAGTTTGCTCCGCTTTAATTTCTGTTCTCAGATTTTATCTATATTGTCTTGTGGAGCAGAACTTAGATCTCATACGTGCGGCTTTGCACAGTTCTGGTGGCATTATTGACCATGGGGTAATTGCTCTGGCTTCGTGCCCGAGTACGCAGCTTTCCCTCTGAGCAGTACAGCCGTTTGCATCAAAGACCTTGAGACTTTGGTTTTCATAGTCACAACAAGATGAGAAGTTGGAGATATCTTTGGGGTCAAGATTTATGTAGGAACTGGCTCCCAAATAATACCTTGCTTTTCAAATATTTCTCCTGTAAGTCGTGACAGTGGTGTTAAACTAATGCCTAGCTATTTCTGCTCCCTGCCATTTGTTGTTGCAGTAGTAGCAACGTTTCAAGGACCTTTATAATCTCTTTAGGGGAAAGGTCTCGTCCTTGTGTTAATTCGTAATCTAAATCTTAATTTGAGAGGAATCTCCATCTCATGCCTGGGAAAAGCCCAGATGTGGGAATGGTCTGTTGTACTTCATCTGGAGAGCGTGCTATTGCAGTAGCGTGCCAAACTTGGATGCCCTCCCTCTGGAGAACTCAGAGTGCTTTGAAACCACTTTTTGAAGCCTTGCAACTCTCAGAGATTAAGACATGCATCACCTTAAACCAGAAGCGGGTACAGAAACTGGGGTCCCGTGTCTCCTTGCCACCAGCTTTCCTAGACATACTGAGTGGCTGTCAAATGGCTGGATTAGGCACCTGCTGAGATTGCACAAAGTACAGAACAAATGGAAAATCTTTATATTTCTGTTGTCTTAATGGAAATATGCTCCCTCTATGAGGAAGAACTAGGCAGGTTACACTGAAATATTTTGATTTTTCCCCCGTCTAGCTTTTCAATCAAAAGACTAGGGTGAAAATGAAGGGAAAAGTCCCGACACAGTATCACTAACAAATGTGCTCATATTTCTCAGTAGAAAGTGAGTTGGGGTTTATAGTTCATTTGGGCTCGAAAATGTGATTTTTAAAACCCTTTGTTATGTGTTCCTTTTTTTTCAGCTGATCACAGATACCTTCAACCATCACAACAAGCTAGCTCAGAAGGAGAGGAAGGAAAAAAAGGCTCGCCAAGAGGCAGAACGGCGTGAAAAGGCAGAGAGAGCTGCTAAACTTGCTAAGGAAACGAAGCAGGAAGCTAATGAGCCAAGGATTAAGGAGCTTACAGATGAGGAAGCGGAAAGGCTGCAGCTAGAAATCGATCAGGTGAGAGCAGCGTTTGGTTCATGCCCTCTGGGTGTGGGCTGTCCCTTCGGTTGGCCTGCGTGTACCTTGGGAAGCAGTGAGTGCTGTAAATGGCTCAGACCTGTTCTTCTGCAGCGTTCAGGCCAGCAGAGTGGAGCAGTTGGTGCGCTTCTAATTTGACTTAGGCCTAATCGTTGGATTTTCATGTGGGTTCTCCCATAAGTCACTTTGCCCTTCTGCCCTCAGCTAGCCATCTCGTTACAGCAGCGCACTCTGCTCCAGTGATCAAAGTGTGTGAGGACCAAGGGAGTTTTCCCTTGGCAGTAGGGCTTCCCTGTAACACTAGGTTCTACTGGCTGAAAATTCCCCCTGTCAGTCTTGGGTGTAGTTCTGTGTCCTGCTCTTTAGTTTCAGCTGAAGAGGCTGAGGCCACCTAGCGTCAGATCAGTAATACAAAGCATTAACGCTATCTGAACGTGTTCCTTCTCTTTTTAAACAGAAAAAAGAGGCACAAGGAGAGATAAACAGTGTCTCAGTGAAATCCTCAGAGGATGACAGTGAATCTTCAGAGTCCAACAAACAGGTAAAGCTCATCTAGGGACTTTATTTTAGGCTGAGAGAAATATGTTTCAGGACAGCCCTGAGAACTCCTGTGAGTGTGAGGGGATGTCCTGTCTGTCTGTCTGTCTTTGAAAATATGCATTGAAGATGATCTCGCCTCCTGTGCTGTGCCCTTGTCATAACACACCTCATTTCCAAAGGCTTCAACACTTTTTTTTCTTTTGTAATCATGTTTTAACAGAGACATCTTTTCATTTTGGACTAAGTTTATGTGAATGTCAAATACCTGCAGCTGACTTGAGAATCTCAGAAAAACCTAGAACTGTTGTTACAAGTGAAAAATATATGCAGTTTGAAAAGTCTCTTTCTTTACGTTTAAACTGGTTATTTAGGAAACAGATGAAGAGGAGGAAGATGAGAAGGATAAAGGAAAACTTAAGCCCAATTCTGGCAATGGAGCTGACCTTCCAAATTACAGATGGACACAGACCCTTTCAGAACTGGATGTAAGTGTTGCCTGAGATCCAGGATCTGAGGAATTCTAGCTGTGAAATACGAGCAGGTGCTGGTAAGAACAGTGGAAGTGATGCTCCTTAACAAGCTCTGTAGTTCAGTTGCCCATGTGAGGGTCTTAATAGTAATTACCAGCAGCACTTCAATTGCTGGGAAAGAGCTTGGTAACTAAATGGGGTCTCCAGAAGCTTTAGTTAATTATACCGAAACGCTGGTCATGTTTAAATGAGACATTAACATCTGCTTACCTTTTTATGGCCCCTTCGGGGTACATTGGCCATCCTGTTGCTAAATTTATGCTTCTGTCTTTTCACCTCCTGCACGTGCATTACTCGGAGAAAAGTTATTTTGTGCTCTGTCTCGCACCGGCGAAGCCAAGGCAAGAAGCCTTAGAACAGCAGCACGGGAGGGTAAGGAGCGATTTCACTGCTTTGCTCCTCAAATCTGATCTCTCTCTGGTTCAGCTGGCCATCCCTTTCAAGGTGAACTTCCGGTTGAAGGGGAAGGATGTGATGGTGGACATCCAGAGACGACGCCTCAAAGTTGGCCTGAAGGGCCATTCGCCTGTCATTGATGGAGAGCTCTTCAATGAAGTGAAGGTGGAGGAGAGCTCCTGGCTGATAGAGGATGGCAAAACAGTCACTCTGCACCTGGAAAAGGTATAACAGAATGAATCAGGGAGGATTCAGGCTTGTCTGCCACTTAGGTAGGGAAACAAGGATCTGACAAAACCCTTTAAAGCAATGAGCTTTGTAAGCTGAAATGGAAGAACTGTACTAGTCCTTGGTGCAATGTCACTGATGCTCTTGGGAGCAGGATATTGCAGTTTGCCTGTGTTTTCAGCCTAACTTCATGCTCATCCAGGATGCCCGATGGATTGCTCAGTAGTTCAGGAAAAGCTGGAAGGCAATCAGTCATTTTAAAGTTGTTCCTTATTGAAATAATGCCATGGTTTTGTTATCTGTTAGTAATGGCAAAATCCAGGGACAGACCTTATTTCTACTAGTGTTCTTTGAAGGCCTCTCCGGGTGATCTGCTTGTAATCCTGTTTATGCCATGCCGAACAGCGGTTCTCAGATCTGCTGGTTGTAGAAATTTAGGCTACCTAAAGTGGTTAGGGATGAAAGAACGTGTCCATGTTCAGATTGTCCCGACTGTTAAAAAGCTGACAAACAAGGTTTGATTCCACCACCTTTTCACTGTGACTGAAACACAATTCCTAGAGCAAGCCAAGAGAAAGGAAAATATTTTTCGCCTCTTCATCCCTTCAGATCAACAAGATGGAATGGTGGAACAAACTAGTCTCCACAGACCCAGAAATCAACACCAAGAAAATTAATCCAGAGAACTCAAAGGTAAGGATTCCCTCTGTTTTACTGAATGGAGCCTTCTCATAGATGTGCTCAGACCCAGCTCATGTTGTGCTTTTAGTTCTTTGTTCTGTCAGCATAAAAAGGACAGTGGGAGTACTACTGCATATAATCTATCATATAATGTAAATGCCCCCAAAGCTTCAAAAGAGTGCAGCTGAGTCTACAGATTGGTGTCTATATGTGCATGTCTGGAGCCTGTGTGCGTGGCATAGCGTAACTTCCGTGTATTCAGGTTGTCTGCAAGCAGAGCGTGTGTGGGGGTTGAGCCAGGTTATTCCAATTTTGATAGAAGTCCTTGGTTTCAGCTGTCAGACCTGGACAGTGAGACTCGCAGTATGGTGGAGAAAATGATGTATGATCAGCGACAGAAATCCATGGGCCTCCCCACGTCTGACGAACAGAAGAAGCAAGACATTTTGAAAAAGTGCGTAGATCTAATTAACTTGTGGGTACTTGCTTTCCCAAACCTCTCTGTGCTTCTTCCTTCACGCAAATGCGTGACAATGCAGCTGAACAGGAAACAGGTTTGGCCTTGAGTCCTACCTGTCTTCATGTCTACAGTTACATAGTCCTTGAATTATTGGCCAACCACTATTGTCTGTAAAAGCCAGTGGGGGTAGAAAGCACAGTGGGAAATTCTAGGAGCAGCGTACCTTCAGCATTCTCTTAATCTGCCGATTTCAAGTCCAGAAAGCACGTTTGGGGCTGGAAGTACCATCTGTACTGAACTTTAACATGGTCTTGATTGTCTTCTAATCTCCCTCTACTTAGTAGCCCAGATAATCTCCCCTCCCCACACACCTGCCATCAGACAACTGTCTCTAAGCCAATAGCACTTTTATGTTTTTATTGCCCTGTTTGGCATAAATGCACCTTGGCAGGGAAATTACTCGTGGAGCTCCCAAGGTCATGAGGGAAGGGGTGGGGGTAAATCTGGGTCAGGCAGCATCCCCAGTAAGTGCAAACCTACCTCTTACCTTAGGGTTGGAAGGAGGACTAGTGTAGCAAGCCTGTCTCCTGCTCCTATCTCCTCTTTTCCTTGGCTTACCAGCACTGGCAGAAGCTTTGCTCTGATCAATGCGGTGTCTTGTGCTGAGTTCAGGGTAAGGTTGGACGCTGTTTTAGGGCAGTGACCACACTCACTCAGTGTCTTTCTGTTGAGTTAGCAGAATGGGAGGTAGTCCTTGCCTCCTGGGAAGTGCATGTACAGGACAGCTTGTTGGCAAGGTCACTGGTTCAGTGCTCTGTAAGTTTAGTTTCTGTGTTGGCTGGTAGAGGACGGATACAAAGTTTAGACTTTGTCCAGGCCAAAGTGGACTCGGTAACTCCCAGCTGAATCCTGATCTCTGCCAGTGAAGCCCTCCTGGCTGCTAAACAAGGACGCTGTTCTTGCAGAGTATATTTCTATGGAAATGGAAAGTGGAAATGCCATGGTGGCATTTCAGGGGAAACCATGAGATGAGAGCATGGAGGAAGGGAGGGGCTTGCCCTTACTTGTGCCTCGTGTGTGCGTCTTCCACCTGGTTAGGTGTCGTATCCCTTGGTGAACTGAAGGACAGAGGAAGAAGGCAGGGGCTTCTGCATGCACTAACCACTTGCCCCGCCAACCACTGTCAGGCAGAGTGGGCTGTTCTCGGAACTTTCTCATGTGGCAACTGGGGTTCAAATAGCCATACCTGCTGGGATTGCAGTTCATTTGAAATCAGGCTGTGCCTAGTCCTAGATCAGGGAATCTGATTTCTCTGGTCACTTCCTTCGTTAGTTTTCCCTATCACAACTTTGGAGACGTTCCCTATGTCTCCAGTAAGTTTAAAGTAACATGTTTAAGCTTAAATCATAATCTCCCCTCTGCCCCGCAATCAGTGTCATAGCTGCTACGTGTCTGTCTGAGAGAGAGCAGTTTAAGGGTGTGCATCTGATAATTAATTAAGTCATGTGCCTGCACTTGCTGGCCTTGATGGCTGGTAGGACTGGTGATACCACTGACACAAGGAAAAAGTGCTTGTAGTATGGGGAGCCTGTCCCAAGGAGCTCAGCAAAACAGTCCCTGCTGTGGAGGGTGGGAAGGGAAGCAGAGCCCAGCTCGAAAGCACAGGAACTAAGGATGCGTTACCTCCATCTCCCCTGGGAGAAGGCAGCCGCACATCTGGAAAGCAGAATGCGAGAAGGCTGTAGGGACTGACTTGAATGGGGGTGAGGGGGGCGCCAAGCTCTTAGGCGCTGTGTCTCTCTAAGCAGAGCTGTTTTGTGGCTACTGCTGGCTCATACCCAAGCTCCTGTCTTTGTTTTCTTTGCAGGTTCATGGAACAGCATCCAGAAATGGACTTTTCAAAGGCTAAATTCAACTGAGCCCTCCCCTTCTCCCCCCCTCTTTCAGTCAGCCCATTGAATGGGGCAGAATACATATTGCAGGATATGTAGGGATCCCTTACCTTGGGCAAGTAAACACTTCCAGCATCCCCACCTGAGCTTGCTGTGGAGGCAGCTTCGTGAAGTTGTCCTCTGTTGTCCTGTGTTGAGCAGAACGCAAGGCCACAGAATTGGCCTGCAGCAGCGCATCAGTCGGAGCCATCTGTGGCACTTCCCATATGGCAGTTAGGAGAGAAGGAGGGGCTACAGCAGCAAAAAAAAAAAAGATGTTAGGTCTACAAGAGCCAGACTCTAAGAGTTTTTTGGGACATATCCTTAATATATTGCTTAGCTTAATTTCCTAGGTCTTCAGAGCTGTTAATTCACTCTTAGCCATTCCGGTTTTGGCAGGAGGTACTCTTGAGTTTTACTCTCTTCCCCCTTGGCTTTTCTGCTCTCCTGTGAGAACAGAGCCTGCTTATTTTGTAAAGGCTACTTGGCCCATCTCTCTGCTTCTGCCTCTTTGGGCCTTGGAAAGGGAACACACCAGTCTAAGAACCAGCTATTGCAGTAGAGAAAGATGCTGTTCCTCCTCATCCTCTGAATCAGTCTGCTTCATGATGCAGAGGGCATCACACTGCTGTCCAGAAACTGAATGGGGAAACGTAAAACTGGTTCTCTCCCCCCCCCCCCCCCCCGGGTTCAAGGGTAAATCACATCCAAACAGAGGGTTTAGTGGCTGAGCTGCACTCAGGTGCCTTCCTTGCTGCTGCTGTACTTCTTTTTAAAAGTGGAAGTGCTTGAGGTCTGCAGGGCTGTGGGGAGGTTGACCTGCTTGTGCTATGGCAAGGGAAGGCTGGACAGTCTATGGTCAAGGACAGGGTGTTGGGGGGGTCTTTGAGGGGTGCTGTTCTTGCTGGGAGTGTGTCTCCTGCCTCTTTTCCGAGAGCCTCTCTCCCTGCTGACTACTGACAGATGTCGCTGCATTCTCAGAGCTCCTGCTGACGAGTGGCATTACTCTGCATGTTCATATCTTTGTTAAAACTGCAGTGCAACATAAAGAAAAAAAATGGCATATTTCCAGGTAGAGCGTGTGATTTCTCCTGCAGAAGAGCTCCAAGCGGCCTGTGCAGGCTTGGATGGGACCTGGAAGGGGGTAGTGCCTGTGAACGACAGTGCCTAGGGGCCTGCCTGGCAGGGGCTGGGGGTCGTGCTCTATAGCTGCTGGTAAAGACCTCTCAGGCTTCCTGCTGTGGTCGAACGCTCCTCAGCTAAGGAGGGGCAGCTAGAACTGAGTGTCTCTCGCTCAGAAGTGCTGACTAATTCCAGACCCAGCTCACACGCTTTGTCTGCGATGACCAAGGTCTGTTGCTCCAGGCTCCGCTCTCCATGTAGCAGCGTGTGCTGACACTGAGGAAGCCACCCTTGCCCCAGGTCTGCTTTATGACAAGCTAATAAGGAAAAGAGTCTGTATCCGATGGGTCCCAAAAGCCTGGGCTCCCATCGGTGCTTCACAGGCTATCCAAAATCCTTTTGCTGTGGTTAGTTCTCACCTCTGCCCCCCAAGATGTTTCCACCTCCTACCAGAAGAAGTGGGCATAAACAGCTGAAAAAAAAACCTGACGTGAGCAAAGTCTGTCATGGCCCTGTACTTTTTTTTTTTGTTGTTGTTTTTATTTTTTGAGTAGTAGGACACTGTTCATATTTAGCCTCCCAGTTTTACAGGCCCTCTGGCTCAAAAAGCAGCAGCCACCCAGATGAGCAGTGACCTTGTGGGCATCTGGGTAGCTGCCTTGGGCTGCTGTGCTTTGCAGCAGGGGTCTGAAAGGAGCTCTGTTGTTCCTCCTGCCTGATAATCTTACAGTTAACCCTGCAGGTGTTGCCCTTCTGTGCTTTGGCACTGATAAAACAACAGCGGGCAAGCATCACCCCCTGCTCAGGTGCGTGTTGGCAAGGGGAGGCCGGAGCGCGCACCTCCGGTGCTCCTTGGAGTTGGCAGAACAGCAAGAGAGATGGGGTTGGGCTCTGCACCTGCAGCGGGATCTGCATCTGGCCTCCAGCCCCTCCCAAGGAGCAAGCCCAGACAGGCACCAGGGCACCAAAGAGGGACTGGTTGTAAACCTGCACAGTTCACGGCACCACCCCAAGCCCAAACCGTGGCTTTGTTACTTTCCCGTTACCACCTCATTCCCATCTAACCAACACTGGGAACCCTGAGTCTGGCCTGATCAAGCGAAAGCTCAGGCCAAATCTAAAGGCAGATCACCAGCGGTCGCCTGGATCTGGTGATGCAGGTCCCAGCCAGGGTCACTCACAACAGCAGCAGCTGTGGGATTAGCTGCTTGAACGCCGACTCACTGTTAGGCAGAGCTATGCTGCCCACTGGAAACACAGAGCGCCCTTGAGTTTTGACTGCCCAAACCGAAATCTCTGCAGCTGTTCTTGTCCTCTGCCCCGCGGGGTCTTAGCACGCATGACCATACGGTGGTGGTCAGTGTAGTTGTGACTTTGAAATTCCCAAGTTTTCCAGTTCAGGGTGGCACAAGTCTTCCTTCTTGTTAGCTTCACTTGCAGGGGGCTGTGGGTGAGGGCCCTGGACTGCACGCTGGGTAGCAGCAGCAGAGCAGGCTAAGGGAAGAGAGAGACAAGGCAGCGGCAGGCCCCTCAGAGGAAACTTGGGGGAGGATTTTTGCAGGGGAGAAGGAGTCTTTCAAGGAGGTAAAGAGAAAAAAAGCAAACAAACACTCCTAGGAGAACTGGGCCATGATTTCAGCTCTCAACTGTAAGCCAGGTGAATGTCCTGGGCTGTGTTTGTGAACTGCAGTTGACCTGAGCACTACCCCTGGACTTCGACCCTTCCGGCCAGCGGAACAGAAGGTGTTTCTCCTGCCGGCCTTGTCCTGTGCAAACTACCCAGCTGTCATTGACTTTCTCTGGGCCGAGCTGAATCAAACCCACCCTTTTGCTTCCAAAAGGCAGCTTCCTCCTGGAACAAGCTACGCGAGGGTAGCAGGGCTCTGGTCCCAGTTGCTCCAAAAGCGACTTACAAATCGCAAATACCCTAACTCGGTATGACCAGTGGCCTTTTTAATCTGTGATTAAGGCAGGAAAACTCAGGATACCACGAGAGACATTGGGAGCCAAGTCTTACAAAAGCTTCTGTGTCTTGATTCCTAGCAAATGTCCCCCTGCCCAAGCCCTGACAGTCAGAGGAGGGCTCCGAACTAGGGTGGTATGAGATGAAGGGGCGTTCGCCTTTCCACACCTCTTTCAAATCATCTGGAGAAGCTGTTCCAGTGCTGCCACCCTCCGGAGCAGAGGCTGCCAGCACACCTGAGGTCTGCCACGCCACCTGGCTCCATCAGGTCTCACCCCAAGCACAGTCAATGCGAGGGAGCCATGGGTGCTGGCTTCGGAGATCACCCCTGAGTGAGGCCACTCGCTCATACTGCAGCACGCAGCCGGGCTGGGGAAGGGGGCCCGCCTTCCCCACAACCCACAGCTCCGAGCAGGAACAGGAGGGTTAAAGCTGAGGGAGAGGCCTCGGGCTCCCCAAGCGCTGCTGGGCTCCCAGCAGTGTCACGGGGCCTTGCGGAGGTGGCCCTTGGAAGGGGCACCTTGCCTAAGAAATCCCAACTCCCCTTTCTCACATCTTTCAAAAACCAAGCCTCAAAGGCATGCAGGCTCTGCGGAGGGCTTTCCTCATGCTTAAAAGCTTCTCCTCATCTTCTAACACCAGCTGTTGGCTTAGCTTATATTAATGAATGTTGCAGCTCAGATCATTTGGGAAATGGCCTAGGCTGCAAGACTACTTTGAGAAAAGCTTGAAATAGCAAAACCCCAAAGAAGGAAACAGGTACTTGATGTTTACCATTACTGCTTACTTTCAACAGACGCCACAGCTCCTCTGCTACTGCTGCAAGCTTCTAAGGACCAGGCTATACAAGAATTTAGGGTAAATCCATCTGTTTTCTAACTTCTAAGCCACACTGAAATAAATAATTCAGTAGTTTAAGGTTTGCATAGGGAAGATGACTTTCTTTAACATTCAAAACATATGGCATGCACGTTTTCCTATCAATCAGAATTACTGATCTTTCTAAACCTCAAACCAAAAAAACAGTGAAAGTCAAGTAGCTCGGCCCATACAGCGTGTTGGATCCTACCAAAGGCACCTGATCTGTCATGACTGTACTAAAGAGCACCACTTTTCCAGCACGGTGAGGACACGTGCACCCTGTGACTCTGGGCTTGGTTTTGCCAGAAGCGTCTCCAATCAAAACCAAACAAAGTCTTCAGGGAAAGCAAGGTGCTGAGTCAGGCTCCCAGAAGGAAGTATGCGCACAAAAAGAGCAGCTCACGCTCTCCCGAAGCTGCACTCAGCTGGGTAAAGGGCTCTCGTATTTGTAAGCTCTCTACCTCGGCAACCAAGTCTTTTTGCCAGATCGCTCAACAGCCCACACTACACGAAAGCTCAGAGCAAAAACGACCGCAGTAACAGCCGAGACAGCTTGAGTGACAGCAAACATGACTTTCAGCAGACAAAAACAACTGTGGATTCGTTCCCCATGCAGGTGTGAGCGAGGAAAACCATGACAGATGCAGCAAACTAACCCTTAAAAGCAAGAATGAGAGTTACTGAAGGTGAAACTGAAAGCAGATCGACCCGTGAGATCACAATTTTAAATGCAAATGTTTCAAACTTTCCCAGAATTTGCAATGATCTTACAGCAGCATAATCTACATGTTGAGTCGTGGCAGTTTTAAACAAGCCAGCTAGTGAGAAAACCGCACTTTGGGGCAGGGAACGAGCTCTCGCGCTGTGCACGCGCAGTACCCGGCAGGCAGAGCCGCACTGAACGGTGCTGGGATCCAAGCCTTTAGAAGCAGCCTTCTCCTGATTATTAAATGGGCCTAAGGGAAGCAGGAGTCATAATGTGCATTATTAACAGCCACTCTGGGCCATTCAAACTGTTTGAAATAGCAGCGAGGGAAGACTCATCTCTTCCAGGAAGAGCACTGGAGAAATTTAGATAGCAACTGGGCAGGCACACAGCAGAAAAGCGTGGCTCAGACTTGCAGGAGGAACTAGCAGGGCAGGTTAGGAGCAGGTGGGGACAGTGGAGACAGCAGTGACGCTGCCACGTCCAAGCACGGGACCGTGTCGGAGGTTGGCCAACAAGGCAGACCGCCTTTGCTCTGTTTACCTGGTGCCCCAACAGACCGGTCCTAGGGCTCTAGTCACAAAATACCTTCTCCGACAGACCCTTTCCAGCTGAGAGCAGCGGCGCTTGCTTACCTGTTCATGGGTTTCAGATCCTTCCGAGAAGCACGTCTCTCTCTTCCACGACTGCAGCAGAGGTTACCTGCTGATGAAGGGCGGTCAGTCAGTTTGAACTGCAGCCTCTGGTTAGTGAAATTGGGGCAGAACAGGACCACATACGGGAAGAGTCAATCTTCTGCCGTCTGTAGAGACGAGGCAAGAATCACGCTCTCTACTGGACCTCGCTTTACAAAGGAAAAAGGAGGGTTCAGTGCCAGCCCTTCACACCATCCACCCTCTTCTCTTGCAGGGGCGCTGGTCACCCCGACAGCATCTGTGCCTTTGCTGGGGAAAACCCAAACTGAAACTACCTCCCTGCCCTTCTCCATCCAGGGAGGGCAAGGGAAGGTCAGCCGCAGGCAATGGAGCTTTGCAGATTATCTGCTGATGTTTTTTTTACCTGAATTAGAAAGTGCAAAACTGGTCCTTCAAGTCAGAGGGTCAGGCAAGCGCGGGACTAACCCAGCCTCCTTCCTCATCCCCGCCAAGCAGATCCTGCCCTTCCGTTAGGAACAGCGGCTGCTCCGGTGTGATTACAAGGAACACAAGTTTGTTGGGTTATGTTTCCTAGCAAGATGTGTCTACGCCACAGGGAACTAGTTGGAAATTCTTCCCCCCGCCCCCAGGGGAGGCTCTGTTTTTCCAGCCCTCAGTTCCAGCATCACCCCTCAGGGAAGGTCCACGCTTCCCTGCATGCAAACAGGCACTTCCCCAGAGGCTCCTTGATTTGCATCCAGCTTATCCGTACCCCACACAGGCAGCTTTACCAAACACATAAAAAGATTGTCGTCCGCGTGCTGCTGTCTGCTATCGGAAAGGCAGAGATCGGTCTCCCCCCGCGCACCCTCCCCTCCTGGCCCAGGCTCCCTCGCAGATCTGCTCCAGGCAGGAACGTAAAGACACACAGCACAGACAAAGAGCACATCTTTTGCTTTATAAAAAAGACTGAATCAGATGTTAAGGAGTGCAAAAGAATCCCATAAGACACCACAGGTGCACCAGCTTCCAGGACCAGCAGACTGAGTCTTCCACTTTTTTTTTTTTTTGGCAAGCTTAATCCACACGCATTCACTCTTAGTACACAGACTACACACACAAAAAAAAATGTGCTATTTCATCTGTAATGGCTATTGGCAGCTCTCTGCGAAGTCCCTCCTCTCCCCTTGTCTCCAAAGCTCCACTGCACAGACTGTGTAACTGTGCGTCGGTGTGACCCACGCCGATGCCTCAGCGCAGGTTTAAGTAAACTTGTCCAAATACGTATTTACAAATCCATTCAGAAGCAGGAAGTAAAATGGGACCATCAGTAAATGTAGCATCTGGAAGGAGGTCACCAGACACAGCCAATCTGAGAATCCCAAGCTGTCCTCACTTTGGGTCTCTTCCTTGCATAAACTGGGCTTTTTCACAAATCAACAGGTTTAAACGCAAAGCAGGGAGAGGAGGAACCCAAATCAAAGCTGCAGTCTCCCCTTCATTTTCAGTATCTCTCTCAGTCACTCTTCTCAAGGCGTTGTCTTGGTGATGTCCATGATTTATAAAAGCATGTTCTGAAATGCAAGCAGTTTGCAAAACCAGAGACTAACAGGGACTTACAATTGGAGGGTTCAAAGTGCTTCGGCTGGTTAAATAAGCTTGACTGCTTACGTGAGGAGTTAAATCCTTTCCCCCCTACCCAACCTTTTCAGGATAAACAGGCTATGAACTAAAGGCACGTTTCAGTTCAATTAAGGCACAAAAATAGGGTCCACACCAAAGCGCAGGACCTATTTTGGCTTCCCTCTCCCCCAAAACACTGGGTGCGTTTATTCCATTGCTGGTAAATTCAGCTAAGCATTTTCTGTTCATGTACAAGGGCACCTGAATGTATAAACAAGTTCCATGGCTTCACATGTTTACTTTCTGATAAACAAGCAAGTGGCAACACCAGTAAGGTACAGCTTCCTCCCACTGCAGTGCTGCAGCCCTCAAGGTCGTCTGGCTTCCTGCCTTCAGGGTAGCAATATCACATCTTGTGCTTCTTAATGGCTGTTAAAGGAGAGCAAAGGGAAGGAGTAGGCACTGAGTTCCCGCAGCAGCAAGCAGTTCCTCGCAGACGCTTTGGAGACGCCTTCACACGAAGGCTTTCTTTTCCAAGCAAACATCTTTTCAGGGAGTTTCTAGCAGAGCGGTCAAACAGCCCAGTTCATAATTACAAAAAAAACTAAAAACGAATCCATTATTGCACTCACCTGCCACAACCCGAGTTCAAGGCTCTCCCCAGCAGTCAGTGTGAAATCAAGCACAATGGGGAAATGCAGAGGGCCTGGCGGATGAGTGAGGAAGAGCTGACTGGCACACAAGTCGCAGATCAACACTTGCAATTTTTTAATACCTCATGCTGGTAGTTCACATCAGATTGGCAGCGACCACAAAGCTGATCTCCATAGTCTGTTTGGTAACTAGGGGACAGGAGCTGGGCAGCAGTCCAGGCATCTCGTCCCCCCTGGAATTGGCACTGATTGACTATCTCGGGAGATGTGCCAAGAGGCCAAAGAATACATGAACTGCATTAACAGCCTTCTCCTTCTGAGGCGGCAGGAGATGACACCACTAAAGGCCAGCAGGAAGAGAGCATATCCAGCTACTGTAAATACCACGGATAGAGGACTTACATTTCCAGGACTACCAAGACAGCAATTTTAAGTCTGGGTCCCTAGAGAGCAGGGTGCTGCTAACACCTCGGCTTTCACCTCAGCATTGTGACAGAGACACCACATGATTATTCACTCCCCAACTTAACTTACGCAATGCCAAAAAGCAAGAACTGTACAGCAGATTATCAAAGCAGGGAAAGGGCTGGGCCACTGAGGTCGTTGAAGCTAAACACCAAGAATGGAAATAAAACAGAGAGGCGCAAGATATCCAGTACTTCCTTGTTCGTCTTCTCCTCCCAGGGCACACAGTCCACCTTCCAATCTCATTAGATCCCCAATTCATTTCCTTGATGTTCGATGTCCAAAAAAACCAATGCAACTCGGACAAGAGAAGATTGGCTTCAGCAAAGGATAAGAGTAGATTGGAAAAAAAAAAATAAAGTGGCATAGCATGCTCTGTATTGAAAGGGTAGAAATCGGATTGCTGCAAGGCCTTGTAACGCCTGCATCCTACTCGGGTCCTTTTCCTTAACAATACACCTGAAGCAGAGGTGCCCCAGATGAGTCAGTCTCTGTGTCTTGGAAAGAGGAATCTCTGCTCGTTGGAGATCCTTGGAGAGGAAAGAGAGAAGAGAAGGTGACATCAGACTGCGAACTATAGCAGCCAAGCGCTTGGATGTTAGGCAAGCAGCTGCCATAAAGGCCTTTGTGTATCATGAGGGAGGAGAAAGCCACGCAAAGCCCACAGGCAGGGAACAACCCTGCCTGTATTGTAGCCATCTTCCTGGAGAGATTTGTTTTTATGCAGGAGAAAACTTGTCTTTTAGCCCTGGGCAGCTATTTGGAGTGGAGCATGACATGCAGTGAGGATCAGAGCTCAGGGGACGGCCGCTCAGTCCCTCCTCCTGCTTCTCTTTTGTACATTTCCCTTCATTCCCAGCACAATCCAGTGACCAAAGCTGGTCACATCCCAAACATAACCTCCCTTCCCTCAAACTTTGTCAGGGTATCTGGAGACTGAAAGCTCTCAGGCCAAGCGCTGTGCACAGACAGAGCGCTCCACACCTCAGTTTCGTTCTCTTTCCCAAGGACAAACCCATGTGGGCAGACCCCAACCTTCTGGGCCCCCTTCATTCCTGAAGCTCAGCAGAGCTGTGCACCTTTTAGTAACGCAACAGCCAGATGTTAGCTCAGCCTTTGCAGATGATGAAAACTGAGCTTCCCATATGGGAAGGCCCTCCTCAGCGATGTCTCTGCAGCTAAGGCCCACAGACGGGTACGTTACCTGCACTGCTATGCCGCCTCATATTCCTGGCTATCACATCTGCTGGCGTTTCCTCCGATATTTGCACAGCCAAGTCTGGAAAGAAAAGCAAGAAGGCCTGAGACAGGAAAGGATGGGCAGCTATGACTCAAGAGTAAAGGTACCTGTCAGGAGATGTATAGGGCTCTCCCTCAGAAGGCACCACCCTTGGGTAATAGGAGAGGTAGTGTGGTATTCTTCAGATTGCTGCCACCATTGTCTTGGTAATCTGAGCTTTATAGCCCTTAAATACAAGGAAGAAACAGAAACCGTACTGCTAAACTAGGGAGGACAACAGTCAACCAGCTTCCTTTGTTATTCCTGGATTTCTCCTTGCCCTCACAGTGAACTTTTCAAGATCCCTCTACCACAGACTCTCTTGCAACCTGTCCTGGAGATCAGTAGGTTCAGGCTACTCCAGACAAGGAGAGTATCCTTGAAATAGGCATCAAGCACTCATGCTGTAGACACAGCCCTTCTCTCCTCTCTGCACAGATACATACCGGCTTCTCCTCACCCCACTGTGTAGAAGAAGGGTCTCAGCTCCGAAGGGGTTCTGTCACAGTAGTCAAAGGGTGGCCTTAGTCAAGAACATTGGTAAAGCATGGGGAAGAGAGCCAACTTAGTGACTGGACATCCTCTAGCACTAGCCAGCTTGTCTGGTCATACCAGTTAAGCTTGACTCATGGTCTCTCTACCTAGCTTAGAGGTGAGCAGGAAAGCCAGAACTATCACAGAAGCAGCAGAATAAGCCCTTGTATTACTCAGTGCAAACTTCACTGACAGTAAAAGATACTATCAAGAAAGCCACAATGCAATGACTGCATTGTGAGAAGCAGAGGTCTCCAGTAATAAACAAGCGATCTCCATTCACACATCGCAGAAAAATAAGCCCAGCCTGAACACAGAGATCAGTTTTCAACCTCACTCCACTGCCAACTACGAGCACCCATATCTCTATGGCTTTGATACCTATCATATTGAAGCTGTAACACCAAGGAACCTGCACATACCATCTTGGCTGATGACCATGGACTCCAGCATGGTTTCATTACCACTGTCCGGTGGGTTGCCTCTGCTGGACTTCTCGTGGCTCTGGCTGGCTGGGATAGAAATATGGGGCCGGACCCTGCTTTTCCGGGTGCTGATGCGTATGATGCCTCGGACCAGCCTGCATTCAGCATCCTGCTCATCCAAGTTGTAGTCCTGAGTTATGCTGTTGATGAGGTCCGAGATCTTGTTGGTCTTCTCCAGGAAGACAGTGTCTGACGTGCATTTGGCCAGCTCATCAATCTGGTGGACACTGAAGAGCTCTGTGAGTTTCTTGAAGATCAGGACATCAATCTCCCTGCTGGACATGGAGCCATTCAGCTCACTGATGTCCAGGTCGGACTCGTGGAATGAGTAATACTCCTCCGAACTGCGGTGGCTGCTGGGGAGCGGTGGCTTTTCTATGCTATTCCTTAAGGGCTTATCTGGCAGCAGCTCTTTGCAGCATGAATCTGAATCCAGATGGTGGCTGGGGCTCCTGTTTTGATAGACAGGAATACCCTTTAGTTTCACATCTGGGTAACTGAAACTGCTACCCATGCTGGTCTTTTTGATCTGGTTCCCATTCTTCTCAGTGGGAGAGATGTTGGCAGGGCTGTTTGGCAGTCGCCCATTATAATCTCCATTCTTTCCGTCTTCAGTGGAGGTCTCAGCAGGCCCTGGATACGTGATACAGACACTGCAGTCCTGAAAGCAGCCCCCACAGGTCACTATACAACAGAAAACAGCCTTGTATGTGTTCCAGGCCTGAGACAGAGAGGAACAGCACGAGCTCTGAGTTTGGGGAGCCTCTGCTGTACCAGAGATGAAGGTAATTGTTTCTGCCTCTCTCCCATTAGAGTCTTTGAGGTCAGCTTTGCGACCTTTCCTGTCCCGCATTTGCTGGGCTCTGTTGCGGCTCTGTGTGATTTCGGGCGTAGAGCCGCTGAACACCTCCAGACTGACATCACTTTCCTTGGATGGTCTGCTCCGCAGGGGCACAGCCTCCTGGTAGGACTGGTTCATCCGGTGGTGGCTGTTTAGGTTTTGGGGGAGTCCTGTTTTTCGGCCCAGCATGGCTCACCGCTCAGGCACCTGAAAGAACAAGGTCTCAAGTCAAACAAAGCATTTGTCGCCAGTCAAACCCTAGCAAGCTGTTGATCAACAGAGGGAGAGAAGGTCCCACCATTCAAATTCAGTGATTCTCAAACTCAGATTCAACGTTTCGATTATTTAGAGTAATATTTTGCAGTCGGGCTCCTGCTGTTCTTGTTTGTCGCCTAGACAGGGACGTTTGCCTGCATTTAAGAGTTCTCTGACTACTATAGTTTTGCTGCTTCCTTTCGGAAGATGCTCAAATTAGAAGAGATGTTTCAAAAGAACCACTTTTAAGACATCAAAATCTCTGTAACCTTCAGAAGAGGTTTTTTTGAACACGGCTGGAAGAAGAGTCAGGCGCCAGAGCCGTTGTTCCAAAGGCAATAAATGAGCAACACAGCTGTAGGCAGAGCCGGCTGACAGACTCTAAAGGGAAAGTATCTTTTAAACAACTCCCCCTGTGTCTCGCATTCTTTGGGATTAAGCTGGGCTCTAACAACACTTACCCATTTCAAAACACATCATGCCTAAGAGGAGATGACAAGCAATCAATCATTACGCAAGTTGCCAATTCAGACTCCAGATTATTTGATGTTATTCAAATTTAGAGGATTTAGCAATGACGGCACTACTAAAACTGAAGATTTTGCCAGTCAGGCTAAGGCTGTGTTATGTTAAGGAACGACGTCTTCATCTGGATTAAAAAAAGAGATCTAGTTGACAAATCAATCTCAAACCATGCCTCACGGGAGCAAAACTTTTACAAGGCCCTAATACAGAAATCATACACCAGACTACCTACTCAACTGTTTTTCTCATTGCTGCTGTATTAACACAATTACTCCAAGCCTGGACACAGGAGTAAGCTATTTTTACAGGCTACTATTATCACCATGTAGCTGCACAGATCTAACAGAGTTTGACACATTAAATCTCCCTATTATGAAGAAAGCTCAGCGCTGGCCAATAGCTAGGGAAGTCAGGACAAGGCTATCAGACTCTACTTTTACTGCTGCTACTTTTATCCCAGCCTATGATGGCCTCCTAAACTGTCTGTAGTTTCTAAGCTTCTTGGCCAACACTGCTTTCACCTCTGAGAGATCCTTTCTAATACTAATTAGGCAAATTAATAAGCAGTGAGATCCCAGCCATAGTGTAGTGTTTTTTGACTGTCCTTGCTGCTCTAGCATATACTTTCTATAGGGCACCTCAAGCATGAATAAATAAATCTGTCCTACCTTGCTGGAACACTGCAATTTTTTTTTTTTTAAAAGTCTTGCCCCCACAAATAAGCAGACACAGACACAAAATGCTCCACAGGCAGTTATATCACACCACTGCTCTCCAGGAACATTTCAGTTCCGTTAGCTTATAAAATTCATACGTAGCACATGCATCAAGAGTTTCCTTTGCACATTCCTGGACAATATTTAAGTATAAAACCCCTAGACGCTCCAATTTCTCTAAGTGCTGAGCAGGCAGAGCTCTCTGAAAACAGCATCAGCAGAGAGTTTTCATTGCTTTCACATCAGTACAGCAGGTTTTTTCCTCAGCTTTGTCATTTTTTAATGCAGTCAAGAATAAAAATTAAGAACAACCACATTTGAGCTAATCTATGTACAGAACCCCTTCCTGGGATACTTTTTGTAATACTGAGGTCTCATCAAGAGATCTAACATATGCATCGCCCATGAACAGGAACAGTTGCTTATATAGCAATCATTATCCTGAAATTTCAAAGTATCTTTGATATAGGGGAGAATATTATCGCTGTTCTACAGAACCAGACTTGCAGGCACAGAGATTAATCAACTTGCCCAGCACTGTACAAAACTCCAGCCGCATCAGGCACAACATACAGCTCCAGCTTCAAACGCTGTGCTCGCCACCCCCTTCAAATCGCAGCACGCGTTTCTCTGACTACCAGATCACGAGTCTGAAAAGTTCTCAGCAAGCGCATAGAAAAAACATAGCTCAGGGATTCAGCAGGCTCGTCCGGTGCAAGCAAAGGACTGGACCAAAACATGCCACCAGCTGCTTAACACAGTCATACACAAAAACTTGAGCTAAAAATCACAGGCCAAGCTGATACTCACAGTATAGTTGGGAGCTTTCTCTGTTCTCACGCAGGCACTTTGTCTGAATCAAGAAGATCCTTCTAAAGAACTTCAGCATCTGTTTCAGCAGAGCAATGTGCAGATTCGCATAGAGTTACCCAGGGTCTAAGATCTTCATTGTTCAGAGGCTAGGATTTCCTTTGAAAGATTTTAAAAAGCTAAATTAAGTTGCAAATCTTCTTAATAAAGCCACATTGGTTTGCCAATAACTTTATTGGCACTGTTTTTAGACGCTAGGGAAGCATTACATTAAAAAGGGGCCAGAGTACCTAAATTCACAATGTAAGATTTACGCCTTTCTCACTGCATATAGATATGACCTTTCCAAAATATATAGAAACAAAATAGCTTTTACACTTTTCTAGCCAGCCTTGCTGCTGCCGGGAGCCCAAACCTGCTCTGCCAATCGCTGACTCGCAGACTCCTAACTGCTCTGCTGACCTCGAGCAGCGACAGGCACCCTGGCCCCAAACCACGCAGACCCAGCCGCTTCGCTGCGCACCCGCTTCCTCTCTCCCGTCTGTTTAGCACATAAACAATCCGGCCGAGGAACTGCCTCTCCCCACACGCTTCCACACCCCTAACACAAAACACCCCTCCAGTTTAGCTGAGAACCAGGGCTCCACTGCAGCACAGGGAAACAAAATTTGGCAGTTCCTGCTGGCAGAGGAAGCGCTGCAATCGGCCGACCCGCTGGCGCGCGCAGCGGAAGCACCTCTGCCTGCGCTGG